TTGTGAAATGTTGCTCGTGACCAAAGTACCCTTTTTAATAGTAACCAGTATGTTCCTTTTTCTGTTGCCTTTTTTTTTTTTTTTTTTTTTTTTTTGTTTTGTTTCTTCCTCTATGCGCACAACAAACGGTACATTTGGGCAATTTAAAAAATTCGAAATATTTTTTTATATACTCCGTAAAATATAGTTTTCTTCATGTCCAAACCTTTTAAAAATAAAAAGAAAGTGTAATTTTGTTAAGTGCAAAAACTTCTCAAGCCAACACGCATTTTAAAAACCCCAGAGGGGCTTAACAATTTTGTGTTATTTTTTCAGGTTGAAGCATTTTCCAGTTAAACCGACTGGTATATTCAAATTTGAGCGTACGCTTCAAAACATATTTATAAATTAAAGCAGCATGAACCGCATTTATGTTATTTATCCAGACACAGTGAAAATAATGCGCGAAAAATTTCACATGTTGTACAGGTGTATCGCAAATATATAAAATGTCAACCGGACCGTACTTCAACATTTTGTACTTTATAAAAAAGCTTCCAATTTTTCAACAATGTGAGGAAAAGAAAAATCATATAAACCTCAAGTGGCGTATTCGGGCTTTGGACTTACGAAAAAATCTACATACTTTAACCTGAGAAAAAGAAAAAAATAACGCTTAAGCAATTTCAAAAGTATATCCTCGAAAAAAAAAAAAAAACTGATAAAAGTTATGTTTTTAATATACAACATTCTATTTTTAACCCACACATTTATATGTGCACATATATGTTGGTACACAAATGCATAATAAAGCTCAATTGTTCCAATATTGATCGATCATACGACGGGATTTTAAAATGTAGCACAGAGGGAAATATAATGCGAAAATTTTGCTAATGAGAAATATTTGCTATTGCTCATTTGTGCCGTATGTACACCCGTGTATAATGCTAGGTGTACAAATTAATTCCAATGTTTTAACTTGTGCCCGTACACATTTAAGCTGGTTAGGGGCTCAGCCTTTTTTTTTGTTTTTTTCAAATAATTGAACAAATGTTTTTCTTGTTCTTTTTATTTTGTATAATATTGTATAGCCTTTCTCATGGAAATGTAATTTATAAGCCAAACACACGCGCATGGCTGCCTTAGAATTCTTATATGTACAAAAAAAAAAAAAAAAAAATACACATATATTAACATATGCGTATACGTGGATATGCGCGCTCTTTTCCCCTTGACAACTTTGAGTAACAATTTTTTCTCAGTTACAACTTAAACAATTATGAACAGCCATTTTTCATATCCCATAAAGGTGTAAAATTGCGCAAAAGGGAAAGTTTCAGCTAAACTTTTGACAGCACAAGTTGTGTTTTTAAAATTAATCTGAACATTTTTTTCGTGAGGGAAAAGGTTTCATCAGCTACTATTTCCCATTTACCACTTGGAAAAAAGAAAACACACAAAGAGGGGAACAAATAAAATGAAAGACGACCATGAAGATAATATATCGAGAAATTTTTTAAAACAAAGAATAAAAAATGTGAAAAATATTTTAATTAAGGAAAATGAAATGCCTAAAATTGATCAAATCTTCAAGTATGAACTGAAATCAGATTTAACCGAAATAAATGACCTACTGCATTACGTAAATGGAATTATATACAAAAATGTAGATACATTTCAGAAACTCATATTGTTGTATTCCTATGACGATAATAATGATTACAATACCTCCAATGTTAAGCAAAACACCTTTGTGTACCTACTGAAACAAAAAATTAAATTTAGAGAAAAATATAAAAATGAAAACTATGTAGACTACTTAAAAACAAATCCGCTCATTTTTATTGATACCCTTAACAAATTATTGATAATACCAGGCATAGCCTTTGAATTTAAGGTGTATAATTTTGACGAAAAGGTCAATAAATATTTTATCAGAAAATCAGACATAAAAAGTAACACCCTATATAACCCTTGCTTCCTTAAATTCAGAAATGGCCATTTTAAAAATATCATCAAAGTCTCCAGAAAAGCAGACAAGAGTAGTACCAGAAAGAGTGACAAGAAGAATGACCAAAAAGGGGAAAAGCAAAATGATAAGCACAACGATAAGCAAACTGGCAAGCTATGTGGTCAACCAGATGGAAAACAAAACGAACATCACATTGAATCATATTTTGAGAAAAGAAACACACACTCAAACTCCAAAATGTTAACTACCAATTTGGTTTCAAAAGAAGATGTGAATTTGAAAAACGAACAACATATCCATCATGAAAAACACAGCTGTCAGGAAACAAAATGTCAACCTGAAATTACCCATATAGACGACGACTCAGACAAGAAGCAAAACGGAGAAATAAACCAGAAAATGCAGCTACCTAGTAACGATAGCTGCAAAAATGATAATAATTCCGTGGCTCCTGCTGCCTCTTCTGATGATGAAATGAAAGAAGGGGGTAAAAGGGAACGGAAAAAGCGAAAAAATTCCAACATGTCCTGTATCTTGGAAAGCAACAGTACCACGCAATACAACAAAAAATATAAAACGCATAATACTAACAACGGAGTGAATAAGGAGAGTAGCGAAACTGTCTGCTCGATGGGGTTAAAAGAAAAAGCGGACAGTGCGGATTATGTGGAAGATACAGAAGTAACCGCAGAATATGAAGGGGAGGAAGAAGAGGAACAGGAAAATGAAGAAGACGAGGAGAAGGAGAGGGAAGAAGAATACGAATACGAAAGTAGCCGCAACGATGACAAGAGCAACAATAAGAGTCCACAATTCTTTTACAATTTGGTGAACGAATATGAAGTATACATAAACAACGTCAAGTGCTACATAGTGTTTGATTTAAAGAGTTGTTATAAGAATTTAGACATTATGAAAAAATTAAAAAAAAATTTAGAAGAGTTGAAAAAGCCAAATAACGTTTTCAAAGAAATCATTAACAAAAAAACATTTAAATCGTCTAGGGACAAAATTGAATTCATAAAACGATTTAAAAAAATGATTATTCCTAATTTTAGAATAGAAAAAATAAGAAAACAAAGGAACCACTTAATTATTATCGAATTAATGTCAAAGGTACAAAACAGTTTAATAATAAAAAGACTGTACCAAGAATTAACAAACAAAGTCAATTTGCATGATTTAATAAAAAACGCGGTTCATATATTCACCAAATCTGTAGAAAACATGAAAAATCAAGATGTAAAAAACTTCTATCTAAGCATGATTAATACCTATTTTCAAAATAACAATTTATCTGCTATAGATTTTAAAAATTTGGTGCAATTATTTAAAAAAAAAGAAGAGAATCTAAAAAATGAAGAATTTTATAATTTGTTCCAAAACGATCTAAATTATTTAGAAAAAAACAAAAAACAATGTGATGAAATAGAGGCAAAAATTAACTCCCTAAAATATCTAATATTAGAGTCCATACTAAAAGAAAAACAATTAGAAAGATCAGTAAATAGACTACTCTTAAATCATGAGCAATCAAAGTATGGTTATTTTTATAAAGTGGATCAGAGTGATGATAACACTTTAGACACTACTGAATATGGAAAACTACTGGAAAATTTCTCCAAGGAACCCATCAATTTTTATACCATTCTCAATAAAAGAAATCTGGACAAACATGCATATCATGACATAAGAAATTTTAACTACAAAAAAAAAGATAACGATGAAGAAGCGTTAAAACACGACGCAACTACATCCAGTCACAACCAAGTCAATAAAAGCATCAGAACATCTTGTGAAAAATGTAAATTGGACGCAGAAGGAGAAGAAGAAAACCAGACAGAAAACAAAAGCAAAAAAGACGAACACACCAGTTCCAGCGCTAAAAACCAAAATAGGGACAGTGACTCATCGGGTAATGCAAATAAATCATCAGAAAATCAATGTGCAAGTCTAAAGGAAAATATTCAAAGTGAGATTAGCAAAAATGACAACCGTAGCATGCTCAAGGAAGAAGCCCAAAACGGAGAAAAAGAAGCACCTGATAATAGCAACAATCAGGGGGACCATTACAAATACAAAATTAAAGAAACAAACTGTGATGATAAAAATGAAGAGAAGAAAGACCAATACGATAAAAAAATTAACTGCTCCCAAATTGTTGAAAGCAAAAATACACAAAATTCAAGCACAACAATTAACAATGGAAAAAGAAATGAAGTATGTAAGGAAGAAAATTGTCGTCATAAAAGAAAAGATTCTGTAAAGAACTGCACATACAAAAACACAAAGGAAGCAGTGTTTAAAAAATCGAGCAGCTGTGAAAATAAAAAACAAACAAATTTTAAAGAAAAAAATAAAAACCTGGAAGATGAAATGCCAAGTGAGCATGAAACTGAATGCGAAAGAGACATCATTAGGTCTACATGTGAAAAAAAAAACTTTACATTTGCCAATGAAAAACAAGAAAAAATAAATAACGAAATATTTTACAAAGTATTTGAGCAATACCCGTACAGTTTCTTTTCCAAATCTGTCAAAAACTATAATATAATTTTAAATGAGAATAAAGAAGAATCCGAATTATCCTGGTTAACGATGCTAAAAAAAAAAACTCATAATAAATCTATTTTGCCACCAAGCAGAGACACATTTAGAGATGGTACACATTTTTCCAATTGCCGTGCAACGGAACATACGTTGAAATTCTTTCTGTCTCTTTTATCCCTATTGACAAAGAGCGATATTGACATCAATCTGAAGCAATACTTAAAGAAAAACATTCAATTTCTAAATACGGAACTATTTAGTATGAAACTAAATTTAGATAAAAAAAGGGCCATACTTGAAAAACGACTAGACCATTTCAATTTTCAGGAGAACTCTGAATTCTCCTTTTACAATCCATTAAAAATGAATATACGTATGATGAATTTAATCGGAAGAGGAGGCTTCGCAGAAGTGTGGGAAGTTTTCGACTCCATAAATTTAGAAATGTATGCAGCCAAAATTCACAAAATTAAACCCAGCATGACCAACGAAATTAAAAATAAAATCATTCAGAGGGCGGAAAATGAAATAAATATCCATATTCACTGCCATAGACACATTTTTATAGTAAAATTAGAATTTTTCTTTGTCTTTGGATCTGCAACCAACTTACTAGTTGGTATGGAATTATGCGATATAGATTTAGATAAGTATATCAAATATCATGGCCCAATTAATGAACTTTTAGCCCTATGTTGGGTTAAACAAATATTACTTGGTCTCTTATATATGAAAACGTTACCCACAGGAAAGGTTCACCATTGTGATTTAAAACCAGCTAATCTGTTAATAAAAGATGGAATAATAAAAATATCTGATTTTGGACTTGCTAAACTGATTCTACCCGATACCTATCAGTACTATAACGGGGGGGGGACTCTATATTATCAACCACCCGAGTGCTTAAGAAATAAAAAGAACCTTCCCATCACAGACAAAATTGACATATGGTCACTAGGATGTATTCTCTATGAAATGCTTTTCTGTGAAAGACCCTTTCAATTTAATTATCTTGAGAAATGTTCCAAAGAATTGTTAGTTAACAAAATGAAAAGAGGATTAAGTTACCCAAAAATTAACCAACAAATTTCAGACGTAACCCTAAATTACATACAGTATTTGCTAAATTTTGATTATGAATTTAGACCCTCCATAGAGGAGGCCTTAGCCTATCCCATCTTTAATTTTTTTCGTATACCTTAACTGGCCCACGCCTGTCACACGAATTTGCACGGTCCTTACTTTTTTTTTAAATCATTTTTTCTGCTTTGGCGGCACGCCCATGTCAATGCATGTATGTATAGGTAAGTATGTACACGATTCACTGCGTTGAGTGTAAAATGAACGCTCCCATGCGTGTCCGCGTGTATGTGCAGATTATGTAGGCTGCCATGCAGATACGTGCTGTACACCTTCGTATGCACATTTATCTGTGCTCAACTTTTATACGCCTTCCTACGGAGCAGTGCCTGCACCGTACAATATAAACTTCCTGTAATTTTAGAATAACATTTTTAAATTTCATATAAGACAGAAAAGCCAATTCTGAACGTTACGACAGCAAATACAACCCTCGACCAGATATAAAAATGTTTCTTCTAAAAAGTCCTTTTCATTTGATCACTCTATCATTTTATTATTTTTTTTTGTTGTTTTTGTTATACACACAAGTACATTTCTGCCACTTAAATTCTCACATTTACTATTTTCACATTTAAAAATAGCAAAATGCGTTAACTTAAGTGTTACTAATGGGAAAAAACGACATGTAATTATTTGGCATAAATCACGTCAAGCATTTACAGGTACACGTATGCTGCAATGTACGTATGTATATAAATGCATAAGACTTTTATTTATTTTACACTGGTACGTGAACAACGTTATTTAGAAGGGGAAAATCTTAAATAAGTACAAATTTGCACTACGGCAAACGTTCCTTAATAAAAAATTATGAATTCCGTTACAAATAAATAAACGCTACCAGCTTAACATGTACATGGTGAAAATTGAATTGGAAAGGTGTTCCTTTTAATGTTCCTTACATTTTATTTTTACGAATAATATGTAGGAAAAAAGCAATAAAGTCGACCATTCGTTAAATCGGTCATGGAAACAAGAGTGTGCCAGCCTCCAAAGCACATTTGCACACGTTGGAGCATAGTGTTAAAACTATGCATATATATGCATACCATATACATAATACATACAAGTATTACATACGTGTAGTGCCGTACATATATACTGACGCAACAAAAGTAGTACATATTTGGCGCATTCACATACATACAAATCAACTGCCACGCGAAAAAAATAAAAAAAAAAAAAAAAAAAAAACATTAATATACTGTAAGACATATATATGGGTTATTCATTAAATAAAACGAATCAGGAACTATAACACTATATTTGAAAATAAGACTTCGAAAGGAACTTTTAAATTTATCGTATTCATTTTTCATGCGCCATTATATATTAAATTTGTATTGTTTATTTTGTTTGACGCTTTTTTGTTTTTTTCCTTAACAATAAATGAAATAACGAATTGCCTCTTATTTCTCATACCCTGGACCATGCAAAGGTATATTTGGCTAAATGCAATTTTGTGACCTTCCGCAAGGGGTGAAATAGAAACACTAATAATGCGCTGTGCTTAAATAAAACGCAAGTGTGCGATGTTATGATATAAATTGAAACTACGGAACATTGGACCAGTAAAGAATGAATTACACAAATTATTTGTTCATCAACAACGGAATAAATACATACCCTTTGTTCGAGATGAATATTTTCACACTATTTTTTCCCTACTGTTTTTTTACTTTTTCAAGCATAGACATGAATAAACTAAAGCCGATTTACCACATCCGTTATATTTACATTTATTTCCATAAAAACAGGACAACTTCCAATTTAGTAGAGAATTTTATTAACAACAATTAAAATTTTTACTAATTATTGCGTGAAGCTAGTTTTCCAAAAAAGACACAATTCATTATATTGAAGTTTAGTGTAGAATGTTCTCTATTCACATTTGTAAAATTACGAACACATAAAAATATACTGAAAAAAAAAAAAAAAAAAATTCATGTAAACACACTTCTCATCGTTAAAAATCAGACAAAACATAACGATGCATTGGACATATTTTATGTAACACACATATATCATTTAAAATATAAATAATATATTTCAGTTTTGACGTTAATTCGGAATAACATTTTACCATCAAATAGTTAACTTGTATAAATCACTGCAAAAATGTGGAGAAATTTACAGGAATAAATATTTCATACCAAGTCTGAGCAGTTTAAGGTTTCACAAAAAGAGGGTGGACAAAACAAATATCATTTATCAGACATGTGTCCGCAAAAATCTAACGGTCCCGCTTCCTGTGTTTGTTCTTTGTCTGAAAAAAAAGGTAAGAAAAATTAAACAAAATTAAGCAAAAAATAGAAAAATAAAACGCTGTCATTTCGTGCACGCATCATTTCTTTATGCATATTTTTTATATCATAAAACATTTTTGCCTTTTGAATAACTATTACTTATCATTGCTAATGTGTAGACTTTTTCATAATTTTGATCAAATTCATCAAAGGTAACTTCTTTAAACCTAGGTAGCAAAATGAAACAAATAAATGCAATTATTTATACATTAAGAGGGCCTTCATTCTTACTACAAAGTCTTCTTAAAGAGGGGCTAGCAATACTATAAGTTTTTTTTTTTTTTTTTTCTGTCTTAATTTTGTACTTACCATTTTCCCAGAGTAGCTTTTGAACCGATGACAAGCAGGAGTATCAGTACTATTCCTGCTCCAGCAAAATAAGCCGCGTCTATAAAAAAAAATAACTTGGTAAAAATACATATAGTGAAGTTAATCAAAGAAATTGATGCAATTCTACATGTGCACATGTGTATGCTAGGCAGCAAATTATGTATATATATGTTTATTTATTTATTTTTTTTTTTCTTTTTCCTCCTTATCAATGTCAACGCAACATACTTGAAATTTTACTCTTCTGAAAACATTTGTAATCCTTGTGACCAAATTCTTCGTTCGTGCAATTATAATATTCATTTGAACTATAACTAAAATACTTTAAACAATAATTTGAAATTGAACAACACAGTCCTTTTCTCTCTCCATCAGAGCAATTTCCAAAAGATATGCTTTCCCTCATATAATCGCAAAACTCTGAAGATATATCAACAGTACATGGGTTTTTTTGGGATAAACTTATTATCTCCTCCCGCGTTTTTTTAGCATCTCTCTTTATATATTCATCCTTATCTAATTTATCATGTCTGGATTCATAATTCTTGGGTGCATAATTACTGTTTGGAATCTCAGACCTCATATCCTTATCGTCAACCTGCTTTATCATTTTCGCTTCTTCAACTTCCTCTTCGAAATTTTCTTTATTATATGCTTCTGGATTCGAATTATTTTGAGAATTCCCATTTTCAGCAGAAGTATTATTGTTATTGAACTCATGCTTTTGAAACTCCTTTGACTCTTCCCTGTTGTTATTAGATGAATCAACAACTCCGTTCCTCGCGGAACCCTCAGTCTTTTTATTGTCATCCAATATTAAATTACCTTTTTTTTCTTGTTCAATACTTATAGCCTTATTCGAAAATAAATCCTTGGTCTTGCTAGCATCCTTTTCATCCACGCCTTTACTTTCATGCGCGACTTTTTTCTTTGCCTCTTCAGCTTTCCTAGCCTCTTCTGCCTTCCTAATCTCTTCAGCCCTTTTAATCTCAGCCTGTCTAACCTCTTCTGCCTTTCTAGCCTCTTCAGCCCTTTTAATGTCAGCCTGTCTAACCTCTTCTGCCTTTCTAGCCTCTTCAGCCCTTTTAACCTCAGCCTGTCTAACTTCTTCTGCCTTTCTAACTTCTTCAACTTTCTTAGCCTCTTCTGCCTTCCTAATCTCTTCAGCCCTTTTAATCTCAGCCTGTCTAACCTCTTCAACCCTCTTAGCCTCTTCAACCCTCTTAGCCTCTTCAGCTTTCCTGGCCTCTTCAGCTTTCCT